GACTTATTCACCATTTAATGAACACTGCACTGCTCATTAAATGGTGAATAAGTCTGTAGTGTTTATTAAATGGATAAATGGATTATCAAACTCCTTCCTGCGGCACCACTGATGTAACGCACGTGAAATCTTGGTGTTGACGTTACATCATGACCTTCAGAGGCCCGCTGCCTGGGACTGCCTCGTTCAAGCCAAATTACAAAGAGAAAGAAAATTAACAAGAATAATCAAATTTATGATCCTGTTTAAATGTGACTCTTTCTTCCACCTCATATCGAGTATTGAATATATCCACATTAACCACGAACGTCGCTGGTCTTATTTTTATTGAGTATTATTGTTCAGGCAGTGAGCCTGCAGCCTATTTCTGGGTCCTTGGCTTATGTGTGGTGCAACATGTGTTAGATCATTCCAGAAGTAGGTCCGGACACCAGCAGTCACAGCTGAACACGGACCGCTCTACCTGCTCTATCTCTACAGCCTGAGCGTCAGTTAGCCTGTTAGCATCATGCTGAGTGCCGCTAGAAGCGTTTCTAGGTCTCTGCCAACGAGAAACTGTCGAAATGTGTCTTCTCTGGTGAAGAAGGTGAGACATTTTACTGCCGCAGTCATTCAGGCTCACTTTGAAACCCTGACAGTTAGCTTCAGCATGCTAGCAGCGCTAGCTCATGATTGACCACCAGAAGAACCGCCTGGTTCTGCTGGTCTTTAGGGTCTGCTGGTCTTTAGGGTCTGCTGGTCTTTAGGGTCTGCTGGTCGTGGGACTGGTCTTGGGTGGAGGACAGTGAGCTTTCCCTGTTAGCTCTTTGCTTCTAGCCTCTTAGCTCTAGGATGCTGCTGGGTGTTAGCATCTCTGATGGTTTAATCACGCGCCCCGCTGTCTGCCCTGATCCCCCCCACCCCCGACAGCTGTTTATTGGCTCTTTGAACATCAGCATGTGGTGATTTCCTCCAGAGGTTTGGTTCTTAGACCGGTGACCTTCACCAGTCCCCCCACCCCCTCCTACTGCTGGATCCACAGAGCTGTTAGCTTTGCTTCAGTTTTCCTTCCTCTAAATGTTGTGTTTTACCTGCAGGCCTGCTGGGGGGGCTTCCAGCCTGATGCTGTGGGGGTCCTGTCCAGGAGAGACTATGCGTGAGTATAAAGCCTCAGACAGAGTTGGCCATGATGGGACTGCTCTGTTGGACTGATGGGGGGGTCACATGTGTTCCTGCTGCAGCTCTGAAGCCATCAAGGGCTCGGTGATCGGCATTGACCTGGGGACCACCAACTCCTGTGTGGCCGTCATGGAGGGGAAACAGGCCAAGGTAAGCCTGACTGCATGAGTAGAAAGCTTCAGTCTGTTTCAGGAACGGAGACGGTTTGCTGCTGCTAGAACTCATCGCTTTGATTCGTGTCTTCATGATTTCATGTTTAATGTTTATTCTGAAGCACAGCCATGAATTCAAGCTGGGTTTCCTCCATGTTGGCAGAGGAACGCTGGTCATCAGTGATGGGGGGGAACCCTGATGCTGGGGCTTCAAGCTGCTTTTTGTTTTCCAGTCTCAGGTGGATCTGCTGGTGAACATTCTCGGTCATTCCTTTTATTATGAAATTTAGGCAGGATCAGGATGAGTCAGCAATAAAGATGAACACACAAACTGTTTCTGCTAGAATTAAAATGTGTCGTTTTATTCCGCCACAGAAAACAGCAAAGCAAGCACATCAATCAAGGCACCGTGCTGAATACAAATTATATTATCTCAATACAATTTATATTGTCCCCCTACCGTGACACAAGGATCGGAGGGCTGGTCGATTCCGGCAGGGCAGCAACCCGCGAAGCTAGGCGTCCGTACGCAACCATAGCAGACCCCGCCGGTGCCAACCGCCATCCGTCATTTATGCCAAACTTCAAAGGAAAATCTTTCACCCAATCAGGAAAAGTGATCGCTCCCTCTCACGCCTGGAGTGCATGATTACAGAAACCTAAATATGGAACGGGCATCCCCCGTTCGTGAGTACTAAAAGAAATTATATCATCCTCTCAAGGAAACAAAAACTTAGATAATGAGAGTTAGGTAATAAGAGTGCTTTATTTGTGATACAAAACCTGTATGATTGTCAAAGAACATAAAATATAAAACCCATATATATCATTCCTAAAAAAAAAAAAAAAAAAAAAAGTCCACTGTACTTTAAACTGAAAAAGCTTCCTGGATGGGAATTAATCAGTCCCATCATCAGTCAGTCCAGAACCTTTTTAAACTTGGAAACAAAGTTCATGGACTGTCCGCTCTGCCTGTTCCCGCCGCTCTGCCTGTTCCCACCGGTCTGACCTAAATGGAGCAGATTCTCAACCCTTAGATCTTCTGATGCAACCTTTCTACCCAGAAGCAGCCGTCCTGTTGAAGTGTTTCCATGGTTCCTCTGAGGAGGCGGGCGGTGCGGCCATCCTGACCTGAGCCCAGTCTGTTCCCCGCAGCCTGACTTTGCTCTGCTCCTGCAGGTGTTGGAGAACGCAGAGGGAGCGAGGACCACCCCCTCAGTGGTGGCCTTCACAGCAGAGGGGGAGCGCCTGGTGGGCATGCCGGCCAAACGCCAGGCCGTCACCAACCCCAAGAACACCCTGTACGCCACCAAGAGGCTGATTGGACGCCGCTTTGATGACGCCGAGGTCCAGAAAGACATGTGAGTGAAGCAGGGCTTCTGGATCAGTGACCAGAGACCCAGACACGTTCTGACCTGGAGCCTTTTCCCGTCCTCAGAAAGAACGTCCCCTACAAGATCGTCCGGGCGTCTAACGGCGACGCCTGGGTGGAGGCCCATGGGAAGATGTACTCCCCCAGCCAGGTGGGCGCCTTCGTCCTGATGAAGATGAAGGAGACGGCAGGTATGGTGTCAGCCAAGGTCAGTCTGGGGGGGGTCCTGAAGGAGCCGGTCTGAGCGCTAATTCTGTCTGTGTGTTGCAGAGAACTACCTGGGCAGCAAAGTGAAGAACGCAGTGATCACGGTTCCCGCTTACTTCAACGACTCTCAGAGACAGGTGGGGGAGGGGCTCTGCCCTCTGCTGTTATGGGATGTTAGGGGGCAGACCACCTTCAAAATGGAAAGCTCCTTTAAATGACCTGAAGAATCATCAGATTCAAAGAGCTGCGTTCACATCAAACGAGGTTCCAGCATCGCCGCCGCATCAGCAGCCTTCACAGGCGGCGTCCCCTCTAACAGGAGGAGCTTCTACCTGCTGGTTCATCCTGGAGTTCATGGAGCCAAGCGCTCTGTTCACTATGGAGGCAGTGCAGCTGACGTCACCCACTCACAGCGCTCCGTTCATTAGCTGTTACTGTAGCCTAGTGAACCGTATGTCATCCAGACTTCCCTCCTTCCAGCGCAGCTCTGACAGCAAACACAGACTAGCTGAAGGCGTCTAGACGTTTAGAAGCAGTCAGGGATGCGACACTGAAACCAGAGCGTAGTTCATCGTGTTCTGACCACGTTTGGTCGGCAGATCTTCCATCTTG